ACAGCGCCCTCCCCCGCTCCCATACATACTTGCGTATCACGTGATATAGCTGTGCATGAGAAAACTTTGGCCAGTCGGTGTATGTTGACAGAATACATGTGACGCTCATGTAGTTTTAAAAAGGATAGGCATGTTTTAAATGAAGACAAAATACATTTGAAGCAGAAGTACACTAGGCCGTAAACTGTGACGTTGGGGATAATTGGGATGGAAGCGGATACAACTATGGTGGTTTCTGCAAAAAGATCAGGTTTCGCCACAAAACGTATTCGGTATTCTCTGTGTATACCTTTATATAAGGTGGCGGGGACGAAGTGGAGGAGGACAGAGCTTGTTTCAGGCATCTCCTCTCCCCTCCCCCCCCCGAAATATTATATATATATATATATATATATATATATATATATATATATATATATATATATATATATATATATATATATATATATATATATATATATATACATATAAATCAGTGGCGTAGCGAGGTCGGGTGTCACCCGGTGCGGCACTTAATGGTGTCACCCCCCCCCAGAGGCGTTGCGACCCTTCCCGGGGACAAACTTTCAAGTTTTCGATTTGCACCCCCCCCCCTCAAACTTTCGATTTGCACACCCCCCCCTCAAGTTTTCGATTTGCACCCCCCCCCCCCTCAAACTTTCAATTTGCACCCCCCCCCTCAAGTTTTTCTCTATATATTTTGCCCTTTTTTTTGCCTTGGTGTCACCCCCCTAAATGGTGTCACCCGGTGCGGTCCGCACCACCCGCCCCCCCCCCCCTTCGCTACGCCCCTGATATAAATACATTTTATAGAAAATATATAGCCTACTATACACCTATATATACACACACACACACACCCTAATAAAGTATACCTCCCCCCCCCCCCCCCCGAACGAAAAGGAATTGATATAGTAAATATATACTTTTAACAGTGTCCTTTCTTCCCCCCCCCCCCCCCCACGGAGAAAAGAGTCTGAAAGAAGCACTGCGCTGGGTATAGGAATGCTCAACTTCGAGCAGACTTTCTTCTGTGAAAATATTCGCTCTCACTTGTATTAATTGCTTAGATCAGCACCGGGCCTCTACCAAAATCTTCCATCTTGTTCGCTCCCCGGCTGTTCATGGTGTCGTCAGTTCTTCCAGAAGACTCCCTCTCCAGGTCACTCACTATGGCCCATATACTTGAGCGCCGAGATAAATCTTCAACAAACGGCTTTCTAAGACCGCCATCTCTGATTGTCTTACATTTTTATACACTTCTTCCTTTTCTATCTCAATTGTTTTTCTCAAAACATAATCATTACGAACATACACACATACATACATACAAACACAGTGTTTCTTTCAGGCATCTCTTCGAGGAGGACATTGCTCTTCAGAAACACGTCTACCCCCCTTCACCCCTGCATACACACATACACACATACACCCACCACCCCACCCCCCTTCATACACACTCAACATTAGTTTTATAACCTGGTTATGATCAATGTGAAATATGCGTGTAACTTTAAACAGCACTCCAATGTTTACCATTTACAACCCCACCCCTACCCCTCCTAGAACTACCACTCCCTAGTGCCACAGCCATGACCTTCGACCTGGCAAACCACCCACCCGCGCTGTGGTTGGTTAAAAACTCACCGCAGATGCGAGTCTCGTGAGATCTTCAGGCATGACTGATGACGCATAGTCGAATTATTTTTACTTCATGGGAAAATCCGAAAACAAATTTTCCTAAAATGAAAAGCTGTAAACTTTTCCTAAACATGTTACAGATGAAGTGGAAAAATATTGTAATACTATTTCAATGTAGAATGTTTTTTTCTATGTAAATAGTAGGCCTATTAGATGATGAATATACATACAAATAGATTTGTGTTCTATTTAAACAGTATTAAATGATGGATACATACAAATAAAAAAAATTGTCTATGCTAACAATATAAGATGATGGATATTCATACAATAATGCATTAAACCTATGTACATTGCTGCAATAACTCAGAGTACCCCACACACACACAAATAAACACATCTTCGAATCGCCCCCTTTAACCCCACAAAAGGTGTCATCCGGTGCACAGGCCCAGCCCCAACTTTAGCCATTAGCAAATGTAAAAAATTAAATAGAACAGAGTTTAGAAGTCAAGAATTATTAGAAATAGTTGAGGCAACGTTATTGTAGAAGAAAAAAATGGGGAAAGGGGGGGTGGAATGTTTAAAGGGCAAAACACAATGGTTTGAGAATAGTCACACTAAAGTTTTTATTTGGTGTAAATATCAATCTTTGTTTTGATGTCAATTATCAAATTTCTTTACCTAACACGCTGGGGAAGAAAAATTGTTGCTTAAAACTGAGGACGGGTAAGAATTTTAAAAATGCTGCTTGTGCATTGTGTTATACACAGGGAAATCGCGATAGCTGATAACATTACACCTTTTCCAAATGAAATAGCCATACTCAATTTAATTTATAAAGTCTATCAATGCTAATAAAAACGATATAAGTGGGCGTCCTTTTCAGTGGGTTTTTTTCCAGACTTTTGCGGGGGTGGGGGGGACGACGACACTGGTAAAAGTAAATATTTTCGAAATAAATTATATTTCGTTCGGGGGGGGGGGATAGGCGTTCTTTGGGGGGAGGGGGGGCAGAGCCTGGAAGAAACTCTGAGCCTTTTATTTTTTTAAAGAACAATTTTAAGGCCATGTGAAACACTACACAGTGAAGTAAGGTCGCTCTTGAAAGAGAACTGCTTTACATGTGTTATAGATATTTATGCTCTCTGTGGGTTTTTTTTTTAAAGCAGCAAACTCTAATTGAAAAATATATGAACAGTATTTACTTAGCTGGTAACACAGAGGCGTATCGACCCTCCCGGCGCCCGGGGACACACTTTCGATTTGCACCCCCACCTCGAACTTTTGATTTGCACCCCCTCGAACTTTTGATTTGCACCCCCCCCCCCCTCAAACTTTCGATTTGCACCCCCTCCTTTCAATTTGTTTTTCCAACCCATTTTAGCGCCCCCCTAAGGTCGGCGCCCGGGGACATATGCCCCCCCCCCCCCGCCCCCTCGCTACGCCTCTGCTGTAACACAGACGGTAAAGGCAATATTTAAATCGGCGTGTAAAATTGTGTAGCAATCTACTTTCTTTTTATTGACTGTGTATAATTCAGTAATACAGCTCAATTTTTTTATGTTGGCGCCCCCAATGGGTCGTCTCCTGGGGCTGCCGCCCCACCCTCTCTCCTTTGCTACGCCTCTGATTCCCTTTTCATTCAATAATCGAATATACCTTCCTTAATGATTTTTTTTCTGTCATTAAACCGCACATTCAGTGTTTAAATTTTAAGTGAACATTACCATTTTGAAATCGTACATCAAATTTAATACACCCTGCATCGGCATGAACATTAAACGTCAGTTCGTTTCCTCAATACACCCCCCCCCCCCTGATCCCTTTAGCCTACACATTTGCTTATCAAACTGATTGATGGTCCCATGTTCATTTCTCAAAGTTAGATCTATCTAGACTCTAGACGCCCTATTTATTACGACCTAGAGTAGGGAAAAAAAACGTCCACACGTTGTCCAGCAGATGAGGTCACACGTCACGAGGACGAGATGGTCTGCCAGGGTTATGTATGACCAACTGGGTGGAGGGCTTCTCAGAAATTTGACGTCACTCTAGAGTGCGTTGTTTTCTTGACTCGATGGCGTGCAAACGCTTCATTCAAAATGGACGTGACCTAATTTTAACCGACTACACCTACTTGCGTCAACAAATGGAACTAATTAATTCCTTACGGATGAGAGATCCGGTGCATGTATGTGGGGGTGGCAATTTTCACTGGAATGAAGGGGCTTAAAATATTTTCTCCTAAGTCACAATGAGATTTTTTTTTTAAATAGGCCCCCCCTGCGCTGTAATGAAGTTAATAATATTCGAAGGTTACAATTTGTATCGTAATCCTGTGACCATACAACTCAGAACTTTAGTCATGCATAGTTGTCATAGAAACAACCAACCATCATTTTTTAAAACACTAGTCAGCAATTCTGTTCAGCACATACTCTGGGTGTCAGCACTATCAGACGGCTGTCAAATATTTGACATTCCACCTAACCATTGAAGGGGTGGAATGTTTAAATTTAAGTTAATTTTTAAACGACTGAATGATTCTGTACACATTATGTAACAGGAAAGGGCAGATATCTGGTTTGCTATTTTTATAAGGGATGAGGCAGTGGTATCCAATAGTACTGTATTATTTTATTCTCTTAAAAGATTTTTAAGTTTTAACTTAAAACTTTTTAAAGTTTAATTTTGCTATTTGAATTTGTCGAAAGAATAGGTTACCACAACTACATATTTTGTTTGCACTAATCTGTTTTTAACAGTTTCAAAATAGCTGCTTCAAAAACATTTTGCTTATTTGTGAAATAATACAAGTGAATTTACAAAATTAAGTAATGCAAAATGTAATGTGGGGCGACCTCGACGTTTATACTTATAATTTATATAGAGTCTGCAGTGGTTAAAAACATCACAATTGTATACGGGTTCGAATTACTAAGTGTAAGTCTTGATTACTTAAATTGTCATTGTTGCTCGTCCACATAAATAGGTTTCACTGGATGTGTTACTGCAAGACTACATTCCCCACTGTGCTAAACATAAGTTTGGGATTATGCATGGTTATCAAGTGATCCTTGTATATTCCAACGTTTTCAGTTTTAATACTGGGCTAGTCATTCTCAACTGAGGTGTGACCAAATAATTTTGATATTGAAAACTAAACACAAGTTACACTGATGAAAATAACTATGCAGACTATTAAAACATTTTAGCGCAATGTATTTGAGTGAATAATTAACTTTCTAAATTATCATGTCCATGAGTGCTACATCAGTGACTAAAACACAATATCAGACAAACACTACATAACATAAACACTAAACCACACACCAAGAAAACAAAGAATCCAAGTGTAAAAAAGATATCTTGTTTCTGTTTTATTACTTCTGGACAAAAAAAAAAGTTTTTGGTACCAAATCAAAAGCACTCCAATTAACCCATCCATCCTGGGTAGCATATTAAAAATGGCACAAGATAAATACATGAAATAATTGGACGTCATACTAAAGTTACAAATTTACAGCAGGTTCTCAAGCTAAGAAATTTTTTTTTACAGTATTTAACAGCTTTACAGTGGTGAGTATATCTGTACAAGAATGCTTTGATAAACAAAACTTTTTTATTTGAAAGAAAAAAACCATATACACATGCCCTGAAAACTTCGGAAAGAGCTTTTTGCATACAAAGACAAGGTTTAACATTATTGCTTTATACAATATTAGGCAGAAAAAAAGTAGGTAACTTCTTAATCCGTGTTACATATCCTAAATAAATGATTTTATGAAGATTTGAACTACATTAAATAAAATTATAAGTACATAATTACAGATTGAGTAGACATACTTTAAACAATTATATAATAAAGATATACAAAAATACAAAACTTGAAAAAACAAAATTACATTGCACATAAAGGAGTAATGAAATGATTGTACAAAAGGAATGAAGGTATAATCCTATTTACCATAAACTTGAACACTTGTCAGAGTCTTGACAATGAACATGCGTGAATTTATTCACCACCTAGAAAAGCAGCCTTAAATAATTGAATTTACTGTTCAAATATACGTACTGCTTCTTAAATATAATCCAGTTATTATTTCATTATGTTACAATTTAAAAAAAAAAAAAAACAACCTATCACCACACATCATTATGATACAATGGTAAACATATCAATCCAACATTCAAGGCAAACCAATGAATCACTGTTTATGCAAAAATGTTACAGAAAAAGGCTCAAAACTGTTTTTTATAAATACCCAGTTCATGAGCTCACAAGGCTTGCATCCTACCATCGTTTCAGGATCAGATCAAAACGTAACCGGTAAGAGATAATGTACATGACAGTCTTCTAACCATTTCATACCATATAACACTAGGCAAATTAAGTTAATTTAAAATTAATAAATATTACAAAAACGGACTAAAAAATGTATATTTTTTACATATCAGGATATCACCTTAAAACAAGCAACGAGTTAATGGTTTAACGTTTGTAGAGAGGTTTTCTTTCCTTGTATCCTTCAGTAGCTAAATTGTCACCCCTAGCATAGCTGAAGGTATCAAAAAATGGCGAGTCTGCCTTATCCAACTCGCATGGCTTGGACAGGATGCCACGACAGATATCAAACGAAGGACTGGACCATAGATCCCATGCTGGAGAGTAATCTTGGTGCTCGATTTTATCCGAACTGCCCCAAATTGCTGATGGTTCAGGGGGAGGAGTTTTCCTCTGTGATTCCATCTTTTTCTCTGAACTGTTGACCAGTGGGGTAGATACTTTGCTGATTTCACTTCCCCAAACAGATGGAGAGTTTTGATGCCAGGTAGCAGTCTCTACCACGCTACATTCAGAAACAGCTTTGGACTGTTCATGTGGCCACATTTTTACTGGGGCTGGTGAGCTTCGTCTAGGTGAAGAAACTGGACTCTCAGAAGCCAGTGATGCCTCGTCCCCTCGAGGGGTTACTTCGTCTTCAACGCCTTCGGTATACCTGTCTACAGCACACATAAGCATACGAAGATGATGGGATACCAAGGACTTCCTATCAACACAAAAATCATCATTGTCCTTTTCATCTGCAACCCTCTCCAGTTCGCGAAGCATCTCAATGGTTCGAATGTCAGGATCTGAATAGTCTGGTTTTCCCCCATTCCTGTTCTCATCAATACTTTGCTTGGGTTTATCTTTGGCAATCCCTGAAGGTGAGGCAGCAGGCAAGCAGTGGGCTGGTGGTGAGGCAGAAACTGCATGTGGAGAATAACTAGGCTTGGCCCAGGTGGAAACTGGACTAAGCTGTGGTGGCATTAAAGAGCCAATAGGTGCAAAATTTTCATTGTTGTAGTTGAGTGCTGGTGGGCTCTGCAGTCTTTGGCCTGAGTAGACAGGTGATGGTGACCAACTGTTCTGTAGGAGCATATCATTTGGTTGTCCAGAAAAAGAACTTGAACTCCCAGCAGACCAAGGGGACATTGGCGGGCTGTATCCAAAATTTGTCCCCAGAGGAATGTGAGAAGGTGACTGCAAATTGCTAGAATATTTCAAATACCTATTATCAACTGGAGAAAGGACAGGCTGCAAGTCTTTTTTCTGGGCCATTGACCACTGGGCAGTGCTGTTTACAGATAAAGGGGTCTTGGCTGGAAGAAAATCTTTTGGCAAATACATGTCCTGATTAACACATGATTTGACAAAACTAGGGGATGGCGCCATACTTATGGACGTGGAAGCAGACGTAACAGCAGGCAGGTCAGGAGTCAGTCTTTGAGGAACACTATTCTCCTGACAGTTGCTGGCATCTGGTGAAGCTGTAGGTTTAGGTGGTGGTGAAGACGAAGACTTCTGTCGCTTAAATCTTGGAGGAAGATCTCTGAAACGTGATCCGTTATTTTCCTGGTGATGTCTGTATCTTTTTTGAGAGGTCATCTTGTAAAGCTGTTTTTAACTATTGTGGTTGAGACTTTGTTACTTGTTGAGCCCTGTAAAGAAAGGAAATTTTTAATTAATTCAGACAAAACATATAAATTACATAACAAGCTGGTTCAAGCTATTACTTCACTTAGTTAATGAAGTCAACTTTTAAAAAATTAAATAGGCCTACATTAAAATTAAATGGGGTTAATTAACCCTTAAGAAAAAAACAGGCCCACTTGTTATTCAGTAATACTTTTTAGTAATAGGTAATACAACAAAACAAGTATTAAAATCATTAGGTCAGGAAGAAACCTGCCCATTATTAGCTCAATAACTAAAAGCAGTCTGTAACTGTAAGTGGGATCTCTTAAATTTGTTTTAACTATTAGATCTATTATTAAGCATTAGGCCTATAATACATAAGCCTTATAGATCTAGATCTATATTCTAACTGCTAACCTATCCTATCATATGAGAAGCCTATAAAAAAAAGCTGAAAATTAGTCTTCAATGCTTCATTCAAGAACTAAAACACTGATGGGCGTGGCGCCACTGCATAGAATTGTTGAAAGAACTACTTTAATAACTAGATTCTAGACAATTTTAATTTATAATAGAATTATTAGGGCCTAAATCTAGTGAATTGAACTTTTAGTTCATATTCCAATCAACTGGTACTTTTTAAAAAAAATTGTAACGGTAACCTGTAAATTTAAGTAAATAATTAAGACAAAATCCTCACGATCTGTCCTGCTGTCTTCTTAACTATTCCGTCACTAACAAAACAAGCTTCCGTCGTAGTTACAAGTGAACTCATGTGACTCGGTAAAAAAAAAAACGTGTAGTTCTCTAGATCTAGATCTAGTCTAGATCTCTTTCCTTAATAATTTAAAATGCAGACCTAATCCATAATCCCAGTCAGTAATGATTATATTAATATATGAAAAATAATTAGATTTTATGGAGCGTTTTAAAATGAATATGCAAATTTTAAAAGAACATTCTAGAATAAATATCGCGCAGTAACCTACACACGAACACGGCTGGCAACACCACGTGGAAATTTCCTACCACATTGATTCGAGAAGGTCAAACGAATGGGGGAAAAACGTCAAACAATTTTTCCAAACTTTCAACAGTACTTACTTAATTTAGTATTCCAGACATAGATCTAAATCCACTAAGATTTTGAGAAGTTTGTAAAAATAATTAAATGTAAAATGCTTAGCGAGTTGTTATCCGGCTGCAGTGAAACGTTGGACTGATAGTGAGTGAGGTTGCTCGGTCCTTTTTATAGCCGGATGACAAACGCAAATTAAGCAACATTCTGCTTACGTTTCATCACGTGGTGTAAACACGGCCACGACGTTGGTCGACAGGAAATCCTCTTAGTCATGTCCTAAAAATAGCATTTTGAACACGCCCTGTTTGCCAGCTGCTGGGCTATTTACTAACGCGTTAAAAACATTTGAACCCTTTTACAAATCTTATTATAAATGCTGTTGAATAAATAGAAAAGTGATTAAAATAAATATACAACTGATATTTATAATGTAAAATATAATTGGCCTGTCATCTCTAGTTGTATCTGGCTTACTGTTAAACACATGACATTCTTCTTCGCGGAATTTGACCTCGTTACCGGTAACAACTGGAATGACGCGGAATAATAATGTCTCGTGTAGTTAAAATTACTAAGACTTAGAAACACTAAAAATACATATCAATATTGTAATTGTTAATGATACTCAAAATTAGGACTTTAATGAGGATTAAACAAAAGACTTTTATAACTTGAGGGTCATTTATAGAATGTATACTATTTATTAATTGAGTAGATATGGCTATTAAAAAACGTTATCAGAAGGAATAAACCGGGAGTGATCTCCCCTAAACTTTCTCGAATATTCTTATATAAAATAACAGGGGATGGGAACTCGGGCTATAGACATGATTTTTAATCCATTTTAAATACTTAAAGTTTTAAAAATAGAATAAAATCTCGTAGACAAATTAATTGCACACCAAGTGAACGCGAAATAAAAAAGCGCATAATAGTGCGCAATATTATTATTACTTTAAAAATTTACATTAGTTTTTTGAGAAATCGGAAGTAGCGTAAATTACTACTTCCGGTCAACGGAAATTACTCAAAATTTAACAGAAGGTAGAGAATTAGATCTTTTACTTACATGTGAAATTTCATTTATCTATCTGAAATAGTACTCAAGTTATAGGCTTTTGAAAAATTCAAAGTAGAAAAAGTACCACTTCCGGTTGTCAGAAATCGCTCAAAAGTTGATACGGATCTACGATTTTGATAAAATACTTATATATGAAATTTCATCAACCTAGCTGTAACGGTACTCAAGTTATCGTGTTTACACACGGACACACACACACACAGACAGACACACAGACATACGGACAAGATTGCAAAATTATGTTTTTCCGTATCAGTGAGATGCAAAACGTCGAGATTTGCAAAAATCTCGATTTTTTTTTTTTGCACGATTACAAGACTTTCTCTATACTTCGTATATACGAGAAAGTAAAAAAAAAAGGTAAAGAGTGTATGCTAGTTTTATTCCAGCTCTGTTCATCTTTCACTACATTTGTCATCACCGACTGGTTACATTTTTACCACAGGTAACATCGGACTGCTGGCCAAAACAACTTAATTTAGTTTGCTTGCACCGCTAGCCGTAATCTAATTCGGTACTGTCTAAATCCTCAGCGATTACAAAATACTCAAAGAGGTGCAAGTACTCGATACCCTAAGCTCGTGCACTGAGTCAACGGTGACACGTCGATATAAATAGATCATTGAGTCACGTTGGGAATTATATTAATAACTCAATAGTATCATATATTAATATATTAATTGGAAAAAAACACGTGATTTTGTATGTGTGCCCATTGTGTTTAAACTCAATAATATTTTTTTATTAATACCAGGTGTTATTTTATAGCACGTGCGTCTGACAAATGATGGAATTTTTTTTCTTTTTTAAAAGCGCCCTGGTTGAGTGGTAATTAGATACTTTAAAAATTCATCTGACTTAACAGTTATAAAATCATCAGCGGGTTTTTTTTTTTTAAATAGATATCAGTCTGATTGTTTTTTTTATCTAGGTTTACAAGGTTATAAAATAATTTTTTTTGTTTGCATGATGTATTTTACTTTCTGATAAGGCCAAATCAGTCGATCATAGGCCAGCGCAGAAATAGGCCTTTATTACGTGAAACTAGCCGCATTGGAAATGAATCCGGGCGGTTTGGTTGACTGAATGGCAAACAAGCGTGATTCGTGCGAATAGCATGTTATCTACAAGGTAGTTAACTGTAACGTGGACTTTTTTTTTTGTGGGAATGTAAAATGTGCGTGGGTGGTGGGTGTTCACAACACGCCAACACAGGCGGTGTGTACATAGTTTGCCGTCGTCAAGTCAGAGCGTTGACTTAACCAACCAAATACATTTTTTACTAAAATGCCGACAGTGAAATAAATACAATGCTGCTATGACCAACCAAATACAATTTTTACTAAAAGCCGACAGTGAAATAAATACAATGCTGTTATGATCATTTTGGTATGGTTAATTAACGTCGGTATTTTAATTTAAGCTTGGGCAGATCAAGGAATGCATCTTTCCCTTTCTTTTGATAATTTAACACATTAGACCTAATATTAACAAATAGCTAATTTACAATTATTTTAACTAAGTAAGCTAGATACAACTAGAGATGACGGGCAAATCATATTTTACATTATAAATATTAGTTGAATATTTATTTTAATAACTATTCTATTTATTCAACATGATTTATAAAAAAAATTGTAATAAAAAAGGAGGAAAAACAGTGACATCACCCACAATGATTACCAATGACAAGATTATAACCATTGTCCCGTTTATTACTTAATTCATTTTTTTAAATATTAAAATATGAGTGAAAATTCCCATTGGCTGTGTCGTTCACGTGATCATATATAAAACAGTCGTCTGATTGATGGTCATATTGATGGTCTCATTTAACCTATTATTAGTGTCAGTAATAGTAAGTTAACGCGATCGGAGCTCCTTTCAGGCATCTCTTCGGGGGGAGGGGGGGGCTGGGCTCCCCGAACAAAATAGAAAGAATTAGTTCCTACTAGTTTAAATGGAAAAGATATACTTTAACCAGTGGCCACCCCCACCCCACCTGTAATTTTAAGTGCCCCCCCCCCCCCCCCCCGGAGAAAATATCTGTACAAAATTCTGAATGCGATGTTGACACAAATACCCACTATTATTTACCGTGTCGGCGGGCCCTACACGTGTGCACGCCTTTAGCCACCAACTTCTCGTTTGTACTAACATCATCATTAAATGTGACCCCGTGAGAAGATCGCGTCACGTGACGACTTAAAAAAAAATACTGTTCACGTGATATCACTTCCTGTTTACTTTCATATTGTGTTTGTTGTCTCACAGTTTGTCTTTCCCCCAAGGTCGGCTATTTAATTTCCTTCAATTAATCTTTAAACCATTTCAAGTAACATTTCATGGTCTTTCAAGTTTCAGCTAATGAAGTCAGACATTATTAAACAGTTTCCTTTTCCTGTTTCAGCTCCTGAATTTCTGTTTCACTTAATTAAAATATTTTTTTTTAATCTTCCAACACAAACCTGCGAAGTTTTAAATTTGTAATTTATTTATTTTTAATTTTAAAAATTTATTCCTGACGTTTTAAGATTCATTCGCATATAGGAAACTGAGTTTCTTTCAGCCATCTCTTGAAGGGGGGTGGGGGGGGGCTCCTCCCCCTTGGAAGCACACCTACCCCCACTGCAATTATAAGTTACGTAGAAAATATAAATTATTTAACCATTGTCCCCCAAAATTTTCAAGTATCTTCCCCCCCCCCCCACCCCCACCCCGAGAGAAAAAAATTTCTGAAAGAACAAGCATACCTGCTGAAACTGGTTCTTGTTTTATTTTCCACTTATAATATAAAGATTCTTAGTATGGTTGGAAGCGCCCAAAAGTTAAAATTCATTGCTTTATTAAACTAATTAATAGTCTACCCACGCTGACATTCATCAGATAATAAAAGCGGAACAAAATTATAGAGTATAGAGGGTTAAAATAATTTATCAAAGTTGTAGTAACAATTTTCAAGACGACCTGACAATATAAATAGAAATAAAGGAATACCCATTGAATACAAATTAGATGTGTTCGATTACTAAGCAAAAACCGAGACATGTAATCGAATCAAAATTCAATTTAAAACTATGTTTTAAAATTAAAATTGCGTTTTAAAACTTTGACGGGTGAATGTGGAAAAGTGGGTCATTTTACTGTTTCGTTTTTGTAAAAAAAAAAAATGTAATCAATATTGTTGTGATGAAATGTTGCAATTAATTTATACACGACTGCACTCTTCAGCTATGTTTTTTAGCGCAATTTCCATTCTGGAGAATTGCGTTTATTAACCCGTCATTTCTGGATGGATGAATGGATGGATGGATGGATGAATGAATGTATGAATGTGTGTCCGCAGCTTTAAGTCGTATCTCCTCCTCAACGAAGCAATATCGAGGACTAGTTCCAAAAGCAAATATGTTAAGCAAGTTACGAGGATGAGCATAGGCCATAAAAATACCGGGTTTCTTTCATGGATTTCCCGGAAAAGCCAAAAAAACCTCGGAAAAAGAAGTTTTTGGCCCATATCTCGGCAACCAGACCACTTAGCGACTTGAAACATGTACCAATCGATTCCTGCCATAATTTAGAACAATATTGCCTAAGAAAGTTTTCAAAAATATCCTTTCGTTCGGTCACAAAAAAAATTTTGAATTAATTAAAATTTTGACCGAATTAGTAGGCATTTTTTCCAACCACACCACACGCGTCATCACGTTCAATAGCTGCGCCATCGCGTTCCATGGCTGCGCCATCACGTTCAGTAGGCGCGCAATGGTTTTTAGTCATGTAACTCTATTGTAAATAAAACATGTAAAATACTGAAAAAAATTAATAAAAAACGTTTTAATAACTAACCAATGGTTTTACTAACCCTGCTCTTGATTTACGCTACGACAGAGCTATTTTTAGATAACATAAGGAAATTGCGCTAAAATTGTCACTAGACTTTTTAATTATCTTGTTTTATAAAAAAATCCTTTGGATAAGCGATCAAGATAAACTTGATTAGGATGAAATAAATTAGTTGAAGTTGAAATAAACCAGAATACAAATTATTCTAATTAAAAACAGATAAGTTTGGAGAAAAATCAAGCCTTTAATCATTAATGTAAAGACTTAGTCTATGGCAGGGAGATAATTCTACATTGAGAACGTTTAATTTTTATTTCAGTGTAGGATAATTTTGACTGGGTTAGATAACACCTCCTAAGTATCGACACGGTTGACATAGCATGTATTCGTTCGCAGGTAACCCTAGGTATGTAAGGACGGCGGAGATATCACTAGACGACACGAATGTTAACTGAATAAATCATCATATCCAGATTGACTGATTATTAAGATTTGATAGGTTTTAATACTGCTACATATTTCAGATAAGTTTTATTGCAGACGACGATGGGGGGGGGGGGGGGGTAACATAGGGTTAAAATAGAGGTTAATGTTAGCTTGATAGGTAATTGTTTGTAATACTGCTACATATTTCAGATTTTTAAAAAGCTGTATAACAGCCCGGATATGATACAGATAGGCATATAACAATCGTACATACCTTAGCAGGGAGCAAAAACAGTCTTGACTTAACAGCTTTCTCGAACAAGGATGTGAGTTTGAGGGGTTTGTTGAGCTGAGCTCTGCTTGTCTGTCTTGTCTGTCAGGTTTTAGAGTCTTATATTGACCCCAATTGAAACTGTTCGAATAAAATCGCGTGTTGAGGTTGGTTTCGATTCGCCGAGAATTGCGACATCGAGTGCGGTACAAGCGCGCAGTTTTACCAGGTCCTTCACGTGAACTTTCTCCTGTATTGTCCGTCAGGTTTTACCGCGTCGCGTGATGGTCTTCTTATGTCACACTAGCCAACATAAATACGGGACCAGATCTACATACAACGCAGTACGGTGTGCAGGTAACCGTTTGTGAATTCCCAGAATGAACTTGCGGATTTTCTGGGAAAGCAGTTTGGTTTGTGATAAGAGTCACACATACGATTAAATTTGATTACACATATACACACAGTCTAATTTTTTCAATCTTTTTATTCAATCACGAACAATCAAGTCTTGTTATATACTATATACTAGGCAACAAAAAAAGCATATTCACTCTTTTATGACATCATGCATGGTGTAATTTTTCTTTACATTCGCAATTTTAATTTTTTATTTTAAAAACTTCAGTGGGGGAGGGGGTGGGAGGGACTTCATTATGTCGGGTGCAGTCGTCTGATTGAGTTGACTGATGATAATATTTATGATCATTGTTAGCGAGGGTACGGCACTTGTATGTACACTGAATATTTTAGTGTACTCTTGTAGTAATATAGTGTTGTATCACGTTTATCCTTTAATTTTTGTACCGTGAGGCTTAGCATGTTTGCACTAAACTAACAATACCCTCCTTCATCAAAAGAGATACTGCCATCATTTTTCCCCATATAAAATTGATACACTTTTCCACCAATATGTTTAATTTACGATTTGCTTAACATTTTCATTTATATAATTTAAAAAGAAAAACACTATGAATTTTACAGACATTTCATTTAGTTTGTTGGAACGAAGCTGTGACTAAGGTATTTTAAAAATCCAGAACAAGCTGGAAACACGAGAATATTACTCATCCGGTTTCTTAGGGCATTGAATTCACAGTGTAACACGCAAATAACTGTTACGTGGAAAGACATCTCGCCACACACACACACGCACACTCACGCACCCACTAGCACTCACGTGATGTCGTCCGGTTATAAAACAACTCGGGAATTTCCGACGACGCGGAAATGGGGTTCTAAAATTTCCCCAAGTTGAAGAGTAAACACAGAAGGGTAAATTTGTCATCCGGCAGGTGGAACTCTGGTTAGAGTAGGGTTAATGGAGACTAATGTTAGGGGTCGTATAGATAGGCTACAGTCAGGGGCGGAACTACCATACCGCCAGACCCCGCAATGCGGGGGGGCCCAGGACGTTTAGGGGCCCAGTTCCGACCAAAAAACGATGCATTTTTTTTTCAAAAATTATGTTTTTCATACATCTTAAAAGTGGTTTTGTAAAAAAAAAACAAAACAAACAGGTCTATTATAGCAGAGATTGTTGCGTAGAAAAATAATTTAAAATCTACAAGAAAGTTTGAAAGGTAGGTAAACATTTACACTACTTCCATGACTTACTGCCCTTCTTTAAAATAGGGATGCCCACGAAGCTCATTTAAATAGTTTTGTACTATATACATTAAAAAGCAATTAATTCTCTGAATTGTTACTTAAATAAGACGTACTATACAACAGTATAGCTATAAAAATCAATGTTTTCAAAATTGATATTATAAAAGCCAAAAATGAAAAAAATAAACATAACGCGAGAAACCATTGACGAATCAAGCTAACGTCTTTATATATTTTTGACCAGCATTTCATTGATACTATGGTACTTATTAATTGGTTTGGACTAAATTTTTTCTGGTTTGTTCTCTCAGAATGGTTATATATTGCAGGGGTCGGCAACCTTTTGAAGCGGAAGAGCCAAAAGTTACAATTTTCAAAATTTCCCTGGTTTTAAAGAGCCACTAACATTTTTTTATTTCAAGTATTTTATTTTTTTATTAAGATTATTAGTATTTGTGCAAGGAGCTGGAGAGCCGCATCTTGACATCAAAAGAGCCGCATGCGGCTCGCGAGCCGCAGGTTGCCGACCCCTGTATTATATTGCAATGAAATAGACCAGGGGTCAGCAACCTGCGGCTCGCGAGCCGCATGCGGCTCTTTTGATGTCATGATGCGGCTCTTCAGCTCCATGCACAAATATTAATAATTATTTTAATTTATTTTTAAAACTCATAAAAATATTAGTCTGCAATACTTGGTAATTAAAGATTTAGATCTAATAACAATGTAAAGTTTCTAATTTTGAGCAGAGCTTGCTAAACTACTTTAATATGTTTTGTGCGAAACATGTGTATGATTTTATATGAATAAATATTATTTCATATTTAAGCTATCTATTTTAAATGTGTATATATATATATATATATATATATATATATATATATATATATATATATATATATATATATATATATATATATATATATATATATATATATGGGGCCCTAATTTTTTTATTGCGGGGGAGCCTTTTTTTTCTAGTTCCGCCACTGGCTACAGTATGGTGGAGGGGGGGTGGAACACAGGGTTAGAGTAGGGGTTAATGGAGGCTAATGTTAGGGGTCGTATAGATAGGCTACAGAGTAGGGGGGGGGCATTGGTTAGAGTAGGGGGTTAATGGAGGCTAATGTTAGGGGTCGTATAGATAGGCTACAGAGTAGGGGGGGGCATTGGTTAGAGTAGGGGGTTAATGGAGGCTAATGTTAGGGGTCGTATAGATAGGCTGCAGAGTAGGGGGGGTGGAACTCTGGTTAGAGTAGGGGTTAATGGAGGCTAATGTAAGGGGTCTTATAGATAGGCTACAGGTGGATGGAGGGGGGGTGGAACACTGGTTAGAGTAGGGGTTAATGGAGGCTAATGTTAGGGGTCGTATAGATAGGCTACAGCGTAATGGGGTGGAACACTGGTTAGAGTAGGGTTAATGGTTAATATAGGGGTTAATGGAGGCTAATGTAAGGGGTCTTATAGATAGGCTACAGAGTTGGGGGGTGGAACACTGGTTAGAGTAGGGGTTAATGGAGGCTAATGTTAGGGGTCGTATAGATAGACTACAGAGTAGTGTGGGGGAGGGGGGTGGAACACTGGGTTAATGTAGGCTAATGTTAACTCGTTATGTCGTATAGGCTACAAACGGAAGAGTGTGGGTAGTTAGCGTTATTATATAACAGCGCATCTAACCATCCTTATTCTTACATTTTTACAAAACTTCGGTTGTGTAAGGATGGATGGGTACATTGGCACAACTGGTATACGATTCATTTCTTACAACTGTTTCTATTGTGTATTGTCAATTTTTACTTTTTTTTTAAATTTGGATCTTTATTATTATTTTTTTTTAATAATCTACTCCATTAACAAAATTAAACCAGCATTAATTTTGTCAAGATTTATATAGCTTTATTTAAGCTGACAAAGATGTTATATGCCTTTAAATTCATATATATATATATATATATATATATATATATATATATATATATATATATATATATATATATATATATATATATATATATATATATATATATATATATTCGTGACTTATTCTTTACAAGTTCCTTCTTCTCTGGGTATCAGAGTAAAAATAAATAAATACAACCAATACTTAGATTCACATTAATTTCAGTAAGTCAATTCAACAAATATGTATTCAAACTACACACACACATAAAACTACGCACACACCGTGCTATTATTTGAAAAATGCGCACACACATTTTTCTTCCCATTACATTTTACCTTCCCATTCATAAATCACCTATCACCGGTCTGCTAATTCCTATACATCGGCTTCAACCCTTTACACAGTACACATAATTTATGCCTCTTTTTAGCTTAATGTGCTACATACTCTCAAACCCACCAAGATTTGCTTTAACACACATCAAACATGTCAACGCGCGGTATTTTCACCCTGATGTACTCTCGAAGCTTTTCAAACGTGATACGGTTACAAATATAGATTTAGTCTTTTGGGTTTGTTTTAAGCGTTCGTGCTGTGTACAAACCGACCTCAGGGACCTAGATTAGGGTTGGTAGTCGTAAGTGTACGTGTACGTGTTAAAACATGCCGTGAATGCGATTTGTTAGCTTGACTGTGTTAAACTGAAGTAGTGACATATTACAGGTGTTAAATATGCAGACTGTGCGCTTTTTTCAATGGGTGGATTGCAGGAGGGGTAGGTTTGTATTTAATGTTCGGAGGAGTGGGGCGGAGGAGGGGGGGAGGTTGGATATTATTAAGGATACATTACTTTGGTGGGTATGGGATAGCAGTAATTTGTCAGTGGCCAGGGGTTTATTGAGTGTGGTGTTTAAAGGATTATGTCAGTGGTTTAGGGAGGGTTGTGTTTAAAGGATTATGTCAGTGGTTTAGGGAGGGTTGGGTTTAAAGGATTATGTCAGTGGTTTAGGGAGGGTTGGGTTTAAAGGATTATATCAGCGGTTTAGGGAGGGTTGGGTTTAAAGGACTATGTCAGTGGTTTATTGAGGGTTGTGTTTAAAGGATTATGTCTGAGGTTTAGGGAGGGGAGGGATTGAAGGATTATTTCAGTGGTTGGCTTTTTTTTTTTGAGCCTTTAGAAGATGACGTGACCGTATCCATATGTACAGTAAGGATTCGTCTTAGCTAGAGTAACAATTGTTGTCTAGATCTAGACAGCGAATGAATTCAAAGTATAAAGTAACGACATGCAGTGTTTAATCCTTCTAAATCCGACCGGTATTGCAGTATAAAGCTACAGATATGATATTTTCAACACATACATACACACTATTACAAACAATACATCACAAACACGATCACATTCTATTCACATATCAACACACTACACACACAACTCCATATTGTCTGACTACACATATGACCACATATCAGGATCAATGTATACACACGGTTGTAAATCAACACACTCCTCATATCACCACATATTCACACACTACACACAGACCACATACTCACACACTACACACGACTACACATTCGTGTGTAAAACACACACGACCCACATTTTTACACACTACACATACGACCATATAGTTACACACTACACACGCAAACACTTATCAACACACTCTAACAGGCAAGTTCGCCTTTACGTAGAAATGTCTTTGTTCGGTGACTTGAGATGACCAAGGGTCAAAACTACCTGAGTGGCCCAGTCTCGAGAGGGT